AGTAAAAATCTTTTTACATCTCTTCCCTATCTCCATCCAGCCCCTACTGCACTGGCAGAGCCCATGGAGTGAACGCTGCTGTCTTTGCTGCGATCTCCTACAAACTGAGGGCTCTACTTCCCTGCTAATGCAGCTGTGGCCCTGAGGAACACTGGGAGCAGAAGTCCTGGTGCACACCCCTCTGCACTGTGAGGTTGAAAGAGGAATGTGCCAGGGCTGATAGAGCAGGACCCAGGGCCAAGCTGGCTTTCAGCCTTGTTTTTCTTCATGTGCAAACCAAGCTCGCCTTATATCTTTCTCCAGCCATAGCCACATTTTCATATTAGGGGGGAAAAAATTCATTCTGTAACCAAGTGACATGAGAATAGATATGTAGGACTTGGAGAGTGTCCAGAAAAGATTTAGAAACTTGGCTGGCCATTAAGGCAGGGTCTACTGGAGACTCTTCTACCAGCCTTGGAGTGCAATTCCTGGGAGCTGGGAAGTTGGGCTTGGGAAAGGCAGACTCGTGTGAGGAGCAGACCTAACCATCAGTGCAGGGCCAATGGTCTGCCTAATCTGCCTAACCGTGGCAGGAAAGAGAGGAGGTAGCATGCCGAGATGCAAAGATCACTCTGGATGTGGAGCAGAGACCTGAACTAGCCCTGACAGGGCAGCAGAGGCAGGCCACTGTACTCTGCCTTGGTTTCTCCAGCTGTACATGAAGCCAGATGGCACCAAAGGGCCTTCTTGTAATCTCTAAGTGAAGGGAATGACAGGTTCCATTGGATCTAAACCTTCCATCTGGCCTTTTCTCTCCTTCCCTACTGTCACTGCTATCATAGAACTGGTGGGCACAGGAGACTCATCATCCCTTTGAGCACATCTCCTCTGGACTAAGCCCAAGCTAAGAGAGGTCACCCTACATGCCACATGCCTCCCTTCCTGCACAGGTACATGGATCTATGGGTGGGCTAATCTTCTTCTCTCTCCCAAAAATTTGCAATCTAAAAGTTTCAATGATTACTGAAAGCAGTATTCATTTATCAAAAGAATTTAGACAACACAGACAAGCACTGAGTGACAATCACTTCATATTTTGGTGTATTTCTAGTCTCTTCCTCTATTTGATCAAATTCTCTTTTTCTCCATCAACATACAAGTTAATTTTATTTTATTTTTAAATTTAAATCATAAGCAGGACGCAGAGCCACACAATGGTAATCCCAGTAGTTCGGGAGGCTGAGGCAGGAGGATCCCAAGTTCAAAGCCATAGCAATTTAGTGAGGTCCTAAGCAACTCAGAGAGACCTTGTCTCAAAATTAAAAAAAAAGGGGGGGGAGGCTGGGGATATGGCTCAGTGGTTAAGCATCTTTGGGTTTAATCCCGGAACAACAACAACAACAAAAAAATAGATCGTATTCATTTTTTGTGTACTTTTTTGGTATTATTTTATTCATTCAAGATGGTGTTGATGTTTTCTCAGTGTGCTAAATATTTGGTAACATTGTTTTAATGTTTTCCTGGTGTTCCATCTACTTTAATTTTTTAAACTCCATTGATGGAGATTTGTGATATTTCCAATTTTTTTATCCTGTAAATAGTCGAGCAATGTATATATGAGTGAGCCTTTTTATTCAACAAGTATTTACTGAGTGCATGCCTGACTCCATTCTGAGAGCTGGAGATGGGCCAGTGCATAAAATTGGTGCCTTCTCTGCCATTCAGGTCTTACCCTGTACGGGGGAAGACAGACAAGGGGCAGGTAAACACATCACATGTCAGCAGGCAATAAATACCTTGAAGACTATTAACAAACAGTGTGAAGAGAATAAAAAGTGATGGGCCAGAGAGACCTACTATTTTACATCAGTCAAGGATTGTCTGATAAGGTACTGCTGTGGACTGAACTGTGTGCCCCCTTCTCAAATTCACATGTGGAAATCTCAATACCAGTGTGATGGTATTGGCAGATGTGCTTTTGGGAGGTGATCAGGGTTAGATGAGGTCATGTGGGTGGGTCCCCTGATGGGATTAGTGCCCTCATAGTAGAAAGTGGTTCTTCCTCTTTGCCATGTCAGTACAGTGAGAAGGTGGCTCTCAAACTCTTTGACAGAGTTTCCTCTGTCAAAGCAGGAAACTGAATCAGTTGGCACCTAATCTTTTCAGCTTCTAGACTGTGAGAAAATATACGTCTGTTAAGCCATCCAGTCTATGGTATTTTGTTTTGGCAGCCTGAGCTGATAGACAGGTACCATTTGATCCAGAGGAAGTAGAGAATGAGTCTGTGGCTATCTGAGGAAAATGTCTCATACCTAAGGAAAAGCAGGTGCAAAGAACCCAGAGGCAGAATTGTGCTTTGAATGTTCTAGAAATTGAGGTGGTGTTAGAGCAAAGTGAGGTGGGAGGAGAGTGGTTCAAGAGGAGAGGGACAGTTCATGTAGGTCTTATGAACCATGATAAAAAACTTCTCCTCGTTGATTTGGAGCAAGATGAGAATTTACTGGAGGCTCTGGGGCAGAGGGCAGCTTGGTTGGGCTGGGGCTTTAGACACATCA